TTCGCCACTGTTCAGAAAAACAATAGGTAAAACTGACTAATTTTTTTTTAATTATTATACAAACTTAAATATCTTCCTATATATCCTCGACATTTGATAACAATTGTTTTACATGTTTTCATAATGTTGTTAAAAGATATATGAATTGGCATGTTTGTAACCTCATCTATGTGGCACTTTTGTAACCTAGATAGAGCACTTTTGTAACCTCATAGGGCACTTTTTAATTTGTACCCTTGATAGGTCACTTTTGTAACCTATAGGGCAGTCTTGTTACCTTTTACAAGACCATTCATTATTTGTGACCGGGGGTGCCGTGGGCCGGGCAAAACAGCGGATGGATCATGAGGTATTTTTGACCGAAAAGGGGAGGGGTACTTAAAAATATTGGTTCAGAAGGGGGTCCATTACTTTATTATAGTGGGGGGAAAATTGACAATTTCAACAATTATTTCTACCGCAGGGAGAGAGCAAGCCGCAGCAAATTTAATTCATGTAGCTAGAAAAATGCTCAATTCTAATCAACAGAAAGACCCAAAATGCAATGCAAGATGCAATGCCATGCGCGCAGCTAATATGAAAAACAATCGATTACCAGTTCATATTTTAAAGTTGAATGGTTAATTATGCAATACGTTTTATAACTGTTTAATAAAAACCAACATTTTAGATTTAATAGTTAATAGTTAATGTAGTAAATAATGTGAGCTATAGTAGAAATTAAATATACTTTCTAGTGCAGAAAGTACACTGAAACAGGATTCTGATTTTTAAGTTAGAATTTTTTATTAAAATTCTTCTGGCCATTAGCAGAGTTTGTTCTGATTAAATAGGCATATTGTTGAAAGCACAAGTAAATGTAGAGCTGATGCCTGGTCATATGTCTATGTTTTCATCGGTTGTGCCAGTGGTGGTGGGAGGGGGTTACTACTTTTTTAAAAGTCATGTGAAGGGGGTCATTGTATTTTGTTTGTGATGCAGGGGGGCAGGACATTTTGTTTAGTTGTTAATTGAATTTTGCCAGTCCACCCTATACTCCATAAACTGGCGTATTATTAAGCAATGCAAGAGCTACAACGACATAACGAAACGCTGCAGTCTTTGTACACATGGAAAATTCATCATAATCTGCCACCCTGAACTTTGTTCTTTAAATTCAGACAGTTCTTTAAATGCAGACATAGAAACAAATAATGAAATTGCTTTTAACCAATATACCCAATATACATTACTTAATATAATCTTTATATATATGCAACCTATACGTAATTTAATACTTGAACATTCCGTTTACGTCAAACATGTATATAGTATATATAACCTTGGCAACAACATAGCGCAACATTTAAATTCACCTGATGAGTGTGGCAAGCATTGCTTGTCATACGAAACAAGTTTGTAGTGAATAAATCTTGTGAAGTAAACCAGGTTTATTTTATCTTTATTTATATATATATATATATATATATATATATATATATATATAGGTATATATATATATATATATATATATATATATATATATATATATATATATATATATATATATATATATATATATATATATATATATATATATAGTGCAGTTAAGAAATTTCGACGCATGTTCCAACAAAAACGTTCGTCTTGTTTAACGATGTTTCTGGAGTGGGCGCCCTTGTGTAAGGTTGTCATGTGCAATGAGCTAGTATACTAGTTGTATTAGTGGCGTCCGCCTGGATTACCTCGTTAGCCATGAAATGATTGTTCGTGTGTCCCTTACCCGAGAAAAGAAGCATCCATTTGAGTAAAACATTCTAAATGTTTTTCGTTGTTCCGTCATTGTTCGTTATATCAGTTCATCCATTAAAATATTCACTTGAAATCGCCTTTTTAAAATAAACAAGGTAGAACGTTTTTCGATAGTTTGGTAAACGTATTACATATACCAAAGGATTTACGGCAAAATTAGTAAAATATACTGCATTAAAGATACCACTGACAATGTCATGGGCGAGCTTGTTGTTTATAACATGAAGACTAAAGAATACTAAGGAAGGAACCGAACAAGCTAACGATATGCACGCTATAAGAATAATTGTTTTCAAAAATTTCTTTTCTTTAAGAATTCGTTTTTCTTGAGCACGACTTGCAGGTACGGTAGAATTTTGAAGAGCTAGGCATTTTGACTGTTTCATCAGGTTGGAATATGTTAAAGAATACATCACAGATGTAAATACGACTATTATTACACCAAACGAACTCAGCACGAGTTGGTCATTTTCTTTTCTAAAGAACAGTCGCTTTACGTGATAGACAATACAAAAAATGCATAGACCAGCTACCCACACAGCGATCACTTTTCTCTTCATCAATGTACGATCTTTCAACGGGTACACTACCATTAAATAACGGTCAATAGAAATTGATATTATCGTTCCAGCAGACACATCAAGGAAATACAAGACAACGAACTTCAAAACCAATCGCCAACTTTGGACTTTAACGCTGAAATTAAAAGGTGCTGTTAAACATATTAAAAAATCAGACACCGCAAGAATAATCACGAGATACGAACCAGAATGTCTGAAACATCTTAACGGATCCTTGATAAAGCAATTCAGAAGTAATAGATGTGATATTCCTCCTAGGAAGCAAATACATATAGAAGGCACCATTTCGTAAGGTAATTGGAATGCTCCTGAGCTTTTGTTTCGGCCATATTGAATCTGCACCTGTTAGTCACAATTTGCCAAAAACCGCTTCATGGGATTCGTTTGGGGGTTTTGATTACAACTCATTGTTTAGTTTAGGTCATTAGGTGCCTTGATGTAAATAAAGACAGTATGAAAAGTATATTTTATATGAAATTTTAATTGAAAACTGTTATTTTGCACAGACTTTAATTATTATTTATTTGTTTAATAATAACACATGAGCACATAACAGCTTATGGCGTAATATTACCGCCAATATATGCATGTTCATATCAATTCAACATGTTTATCAAATTGATGAAGTTTTCACTATTGAACATCATAAATTCGCTATACCATTCGGATTGAACACTCGTGAAATTTCAACATGTTTTCGTATTTGATGTGAATTTCAATGTTGAACATGTCATATTCAGCATGTCGCTTTCAATTTAACACTCTTAGAAATTTACAAATGTTACTAATTTTTAATTAATTAAAAACATTTTTAAGGTTCAAGTGTTAAAACAACATGGAAACGCGTAACTATATGAATTTGAGAAGTTAATTTTGGCGATTATACAAACACGGCGTGAAATGTCCGCCAATATTAATCCCCGAGCCGACGGCTCGAAGCGCCGTGCGAGGGTACTAATTCGGTGATCGCTAGATAGTATACTTCAAAATAAGGTTTCCGTTTTTATAACGTAGAAAAACTATTCTAACGCAAAACTTAGCCCTAACCCTAATACTAACCCTCACCCTAACCGTAACCTAACCCTAACCTAAACACTAACCTAACCCTAACTTATTTTAATTATTTTAAAAATTGATATAAAAACGGAAACCTTATTTTGAAGTATACTATCTAGCAATTGCCGTACTAATTCGCCCCGGCTATTTTCACCCGGGGAAAAGAAAGCATGCATTAGCGCAAAGTCTAAAGTTCACAAATGATCGCGGGCGTGGCTCTCTGTGCGTGGGTGGTCATCCTCACTGATCTCAAAAATGTGGCGGACTGTCATGAATAGCGAACACTGTGATTTGTCCAATTTAAAGTTTGCATTATAACGACTGCACGACGACAGCGAAATAGCAAACATTTCTTGATTTGATGATTGATAAATTTCTTGCAAATATATTTCATTTTTGCTCGCATTTTTGCAAGATTTTGTAAATTTCAAGAAAGAAAGGGCGAAAGAATCGGCAAAAAGAAGGGAGCCGACGTTAACGAAGGTAAGTTTGTTTTAAATATTGATTTTATAATTGCTTTAAAACCCGACGGCCTTTGCGTACAGTATATGCAACAACTAAACAAGACAGCATATAATTTTAAATCATTTTATTCATAGAATTTTAAAGTTTATCGATATCATAAAGCCATTTAATTAAAGTTTAGCTTTATAAAGAACACTTCAAAACGTTTTGCGAAGCGTTTGTGGTTGAATTTTACCTTAAATTGAAGCTTATAATACGTATAATAACATACCTAACATATATAGGCCTATGTTGGGAAATTGATAATTTTGTAATTAAAAGTGATTGTTTTAGGCGATTTTCCATTTTGTAAGAATATTCTTAAAAAAATATCGTGTCACCATGACAACTACTTTAGATACTTCATGTTCGGAAAATACAATGGTTTTGTCAGCAAGGCGAGGGTTTCTGCATGCATGTATTTTCTAGTTAATTGAGATAATGCTAGATCCCCCTGCCTCGAATGTCATGCCTAGTCCTTTCTGGTAGACGCAGTCATTGTCGTGCATCCTGTCCACTGATCGTGTCACATTTCGTGTCACAGATAACAGATTGTCCAATACAGAATAGAAATTATATGTGACGGGTTTTGTAAATGGAAATGTCGAGTGAAGTTTTATATACAGGTAATAGGACCTAACCAGGAACAACCGCGAAAAATGCAACTACAGGTTCTCTGGCAGGAATCGAACCTGCGCCCCTGCGATTCCGGTGCATCGCTCTAACCAACTGAGCTACAGAGTCCAGTTGCTGAGCTCTAACCACAAGTTCATGCATATATAGAGAGTACTGCCATTTAATTAGGTATGGGTAAATATTAAATATTTTTTTGCATTTCACTCGAATGAATAGTTGACCTGTAGTTGCATTTTTCGCAACTGTTCCTAGTTAGGTTTTATTACCTGTAATGGTATATATATAAAACTTCACTCGAAATTTCTATCTATAAAACCCGTCAACTATTCATTCGAGTGAAATGCAAAAAAAATTTAATATTTACACATACCTAATTAAATGGCAGTATACCCTCTATGTACACATGAACTTGTGGTTAGAGCTCAGCAACTGGACTCTGTAGCTCAGTTGGTTAGAGCGATGCACCGGAATTGCAGGGCCGCAGGTTCGATTCCTGACACGGACCTGTGGTTGCATTTTTTTGCAACTGTTCCTGGTTGGGTTTTATTACCTGTATATAAAACTTCACTCGACATTTCCATCTACAAAACCCGCCAACTATTCATTCGAGTGAAATGCAAAAAAATATTTAATATTTACCCATAGAAATTATATATATATATATATATATATATATATATATATATATATATATATATATATATATATATATATATATATATATATATATATATATGTATATATGTATATGTATGTATGTTAGTTGTGTAATTGTACACTATGTAATATGTTAAGATGAAAATGTTCTAGAGTGTGTATTATATCATTTCCATGCATACCCAGCGCAAGCAGAAAGATGTTGGCTAGGACGCGGGTTCGAGACCCAGCCGCGGCAGACAACATCTTTCTGCTTGCGCTGGGTATGGAAATTATATAATACACACTCTAGAACATTTTCATATATATATATATATATATATATATATATATATATATATATATATATATATATATATATATATATATATATATATATATATATATATATATATATATATATATATATATATATGACGACAAAGTAGGATGCGGATGTGGGACACACAAAATATTATAAAAGTGACAAAGTAAGTCATATCTCGAATACGCATGCGTACTACATGTCGTAGTTTGAAAGCAGCGTAAAGGGCCATGAACGGACTATGACAGTGTGTCCTGCTCACATTAGCAACTGTGGACAGCTGTTTCGCCCTTTTGGGGCTCGTCACCACAGTGTAGCTAATGGACAAGCTGCACATCCAATAGGCACTTTTATCAAATTTTAATAGGAACAATTATAGACTCTAGAGAATTCAATACTAGGAATTTTTAATTATTGATGTACAGTATAAAAATAGGGTGTGTAATATTACTGTAAAGTTTTTATCTACTGAAGAAGCCTTGATCGGCGAAACGTCTAGATATTAAATATAACAACATTTTATGTCTGTTGAAATTCCATCCACAAGGAACCTTCACATATATATATATATATATATATATATATATATATATATATATATATATATATATATATATATATATATATATATATATATATATATATTCTGTGATCGTGTATTGGTTTTATACCGTTTCGTACCTCAGTATTTCGTACACGTTGTTTTGCTGTGTGTTGCTCTTACTGTGTGCGACTAGTTGAGTTCATAATCATGAATGCAAGTGAAACAAATTCTGCCAGGAATGCTCTCTTAAGCCTGTTTTCCACTAGCGAATTTCTTCGCGTGAAACGAATTTCCTATTGTTTAAATTGAAAAGAATTGATTAAAAATCTAATTAGTTCCAGCCGAGAGCTAGCTCATAATACAAAAGATTCGCGCAAACAAATTCGCTAGTGGAAAACCGGCTTTAGAAGTGGCTGAACGGTTGAGACAACAGGCAGCAGGTGAGTTCATGTTTTAACATTTGCGCTAACATTTGCTCCTATAAATGCGGCATGTGAGAGCATATATTTTTATGACAATTTACTAATATGAATAATTGGTCTAATTAGCTAATCAGTCTGACAATGTTGCGGCAGCAGAGCAGTCGCAACCATCTCAGACAGGTGATACAGACCAGCTAGGATTCCAACACTCATGGCTGGAGGAAGCAGTCAAATGAATGATTACAGGAGACTTTTTGGATATACAGCAAGAAAGAAGCAATCGAAAAGGGGTACTGTTTAAATAAACGAAAAATGCAAACCTGTTTGCTGAAGTTTGTTTGTATGGCAGGTCGTACTGCTGTAAAACCTTCAACAGCAATCAAAGAAAGAACGATGTTGGCAAATGCAAGTCTTCGAGATGCGACTATTTTATTTAATGCAAATGAGATAGTTTGCATTTTCATGAAAAAATATTAGAAACCTATCTTAAGCTGAGCTCTGCTGGCTACGAGTTGCTTGTGCATGTGTGTTATACAGGACAATCCTGAAAGGTTATAAAATGGGAGCTGGGATTGATACATTTTTTATTCTAATCATTAGGACTTGAGAATTGATCAAAACAATGAGATCAATCCTCCAAGGGTTTATCAAAGTTGTGAGGACTTGTTACAACAATGAACATTTTTTTCTATACCAACATTCAATGTCTGAGTGTAGATTTGACACTCACTGTTAGAGTTAACCGTTTTTATACTGTATTGTAAATATTTTCAATTAAATAGCAGAAAAGGAAGAGGTCAGAACCTTCCATAGTTGACTACATGTTTCAACAGTAGTCACATGCTGATGGTGGTGAAGTTCCAGGTATGAAATTGCCTGTAATAATAGAAATTGTCATGGCAACTTTCAGATATATATCTGCCCGAAATAGACCAGAAACCAGCACCGCGTCAACAGCACCACCCATGTGGTTCAATTTTCATTAAAAAGTAAACTCTTCATTCATTTAACAGCTTTACAGGAGGATGCTGATGAAATGGAAATATTAACACACCGGGCTTCAGCACAGAATCATCCAATAGCAATAATGAAATGACAAGACGCTAACGCTGGAAGATTTCAGACAAGACATTGTGGATGAATCAGCAAGGAAGCAGATGTTCACTGTATCGAGAGAGGATGGTGCCGAGGAACTTAAAAAGGACATTTTGTGCTGCTATAAAAGCCCTGTGGTTCGACTAAAAGCAAAGCCTAGGGTCACATTTGAAGGAGAGGAAGGCGTATAGGAAGTGGGTGGTGAGAGAATTTTTGCTTTGTGCAGTAGTAAAAATCATCGAGGAAGGAATAGAAAAAGCCGGTAAGCCGCTTATGTTTCTTGAAGGGGAAGACGACCACAAGGTGCCCATACATGACAAAGCCTTAAGGTGCACGGTTGCTTTCAAGGCTATTGGAAGAATAATTGGGCACTCTGTATTACACGGGGGACCAGTTGTATATGGCCTGTCTCCAGCTGTGGTCGAGTACTGGAGGTTAAGCGACATTGGTAGTGTAGATGTATTGGCACTAACAAGTAAATCATCTGGATTTACACAAAATAAAAAAATAAGGTAGAAATATTTCTGCTCAGCTCATTGGCAGTTTATTAACTGGCAGTTAACTGATAATACTTGTGTCAACTCTCAAATATGATCTTCTGGCATTAGATGGAGTAACATCCTAAAGTAGGCTAATGTAATAACAGTTATTGGGATATAGTAATAATAGTTACTGGGGACACACTAGCTATATATACCCTGAGCTAACCCTGTGAGATTCTTGCAAATATGTTTATATGGAGGTAGAAATCCCTTGGGGGTAGTAACGCCCCATTTTTGGGAGAAGAATGACCTAATTATTAACTGTAGATTGTGAAACAAGTATAATATTAAACCAATTCCTTTGAAAAAAATCTCTCTTTTTCCCCATCTCTACACTTACATATACTTTGTTGGTCATAGATGGTCTCTCAAAGTAGGCAAGCAAAGAAAAGGTTCTGCATTATGATAATTATATATTATTGATGGGTTTTACATGGAATGAAGGGCAGTCTTACTGTTCAAAAAGATGATGTCCAAGTGAAATGCTCAAGGAATAATGAACTACAGTGTTAGATACTGTGCCTTAACGTATGTTATTACTTGTTGTTTTTCTGTTAATGATTAAATTTCCATCTTTAGAATGAACTCCATGTATATCTGGAGTGAAGCAAATCATGGCAGAAATTGACGTCCGCTGACAATCCATTTCTATTGTTTTTTATTGCATACAAGCCAGCAAGGGGTACGTGTACCAAAATTTCCACTTTTTAATTTGATTTAAACCATAACATATTTTATGAACAAATAATTTGTTTTAAAATTCTATGAAAATTGTTTTTGAATTTCATGAAACTGGACGCCAATTGCTGCCATCTTGGCTTCACTTGATCTTATGGCCAAACATTAAGTTTTGGTCCAGTTATATATGGAGCTCACTGAATCTGGGCAGGTTTTCGCACAGGTTTTGCTAGTTTTCTCAAACTCAGCGCTCAATGCAGATAACGGTTTGTCGGGTCAACGGACAATGACCGCCCAAAAATCCCTTTTGGTTAGGTTCTTTTTCAGTCCCCTCACTAGAATTTTGTGTCGTAATGATAGATTTTCCTGAAAGCACTGTAGTAACTTAGATAACGGTGTCTTAATTCATCTCTGTAAGATGTGAATGCTAACTGTCTTAGGCGTTTAGGACCTAACCGTAAAGCAGTAAAAGCGACGTCTATTACTTTATTCGTCTCTATTAGTGACCGGCGAAAAACAGATTTTCGCCGAGCTCAAATCAAGTTGAGCTGTCGTTTTTACCGAAGACCTATCGGCCGTTTTTGAGCCCTGTTTCTGACGAAATCCCTAATGTTATCAATGGATTATGTATATCAGGGGCCGGTTGTACGAAGCCCGCTTAGCCTAAACGGTTGTTAAGTTCAAAATAGAAAGCAAGTCTAGAGATTTATTTAACAACAAAAGTAGAAATTTTAAACCTTAATAGAACGATAATGTTTACAACTACATATTCAGTGCACAATATTTAAGTTGATTGATTCACGAGAGATATAAAAGTGTTATTTAATTTTGACTTATACACCGTTTAAGCTAAACGGGCTTCGTACAACCGGCGCCAGAGTTGTAAAATAAAAACATAGAGCGTTTTGGCTTAGGTTAAAAAATGTCTTATCATTTATATAGTACTGTAGTTTTGAAATCATGTAGTTTTATTACTGACATTAGAGTACTTTAAATCGTTTGAAATCCTGAATGGTATGATTTTAACTATTTTGCTGTTGAGTGGATTTAGAAACGGAGTTCAACAAAGCCATATAAAACGGCGCGAATGAGAATATCTTCTTTCAGTAAGGTGTGTACCTATTCACAAGATGTATATCTGGGAAACTGTGTGTAATTTTGCACACCTTTCAAGGTGTGTATAAAAGCACACTGTAAGGTGTGCGCATGCGTGTAAATATGTATGTAAGCTACATTCGCAACTAATAACAAAACATCAGTTTATATCTTATTTATAAAGATCAAATTTTATTTCATCATTGCATAAAGCTGTCCACTGCGACAGTGGAAGAGCTGGGAAAATTGAGGAACGATGTACACATACCAAACAATACCACAACAGGGTGTCTCAAAAAACCGCTACCCTTGGAAATTCACCATTGTTCTAATTTGAATGCCTGAGTGCTATCTTGAACTCATGGGTGCATGAACAATTTGAATGGAATTTTATGCTAGAGAAGTTATTGAAAAGTTTCTAGTTTTGTTCAGCATATGACTGATTGATTTAAACGCAACAAAAATACGTAAGTTAAACAAAACGTTGTTTATTTTTACAATTATTAAGCACCTCGTCCTTCGACGTGGCCCCCATTTCTCTCAGCACAAAGTAATGTTCGTCTATGCATATCACGCACGGCTCGGCTAATAAGGGCAGGCTGTTGTCGTAAAGCATCAAACTCTTCGATGATTCTTTGGCGCAACGCATCAATAAAGGTTCAGGCATTCAAATTAGAACAATGGTGAATTTCTAAGGGTAGCGGCTTTTTTGAGACACCCTGTATAGTCATTAGGGACCTTTAGCTAGCAGGACGACGACGGCTATTAATACAATGAAATTTATGACAGTGTAGAAAGAAAATGCATAATTAAAAGTCCCATGGGAGTTTTAGACGTCGTCTTTGCTCTATTTACAACAGCAAACCAAAGATTTTCACGTTTTGTGCACAACGTCTGCCTTTCAAGCCGTGAGAAGTCGTCCTCGCCAAATTGGCTTAGTAGAAGTCTTCTCAACTATACACCTCTGTCTTAACCTTCTTAAATTGCAATAAATTCATACAACGGATAATACAAGACATGTTGATCTGAAAGTTACTTATTCGAACGAGTTTATTTTGGCCGTCGTCGTCGCGTTGCCGTCACCTGTTTGCTATAGCTAGGTGGAAATACGTTGGAGATGACAGAAATGCGTAATGGTGTAATAAGATTATTTCGGTTTGCGACAGTCGCACTTCACTTTGGAAACCACAGAAATATTATATGTAGTATAAATCGTCTTCTATTTTTAGTCGCTGGGGCGAGCGACTATATGCTTGCCTTTCAGTTTTTCTACTCTTTTTTTCAGCCACAAATCGAGAAATTACGTAATCTTTCAGCTACAAATTAAATCACTTTCACTGGGTTGCCATTTGTTCTGCCACCACCGAGCAGGGAAGTACGCCTTTATTAAGTATAGGTTATTTTGAGGCAACAAGGGGATATGTGATTTATTCACCGAGGCGCGCAGCGCCGAGGTGAATAAACACATATCCCCGAGGTGCCTCAAAATAACATACTTATTTTTCACACTGCGATGTTGCGTTAATGAGTCAGAATAGAAATAATTCTTATAAATGCCATATTGCCTTCGTTATGTTGGTTTTTTTTTCTCATTTTTTGTGCTGTAAAGACATTGCAGGTGAATATTAGAAGGGATTGATTAGAGGAGAATATTGAATATATTTCCCGATACCGGGTAGGGTGAAAAATAAGTAGCAATAATATTAAATGCAATGCTCAAAATTTAAGAGTTTTTATGATTATTTTCACAACTAGTAACGTCCCACACAACAAGTCACTTATAAACCCAAACAATTGACCTACACTTACGAAACCGTTTGTGGAATATTTCTCAACAGCGACTTAATCTAAGCAGAAGAAGTACATCTTGAGAAATACATAATATCTTTTCTTCTGTTTAGAATACCGGTATATATATAACAAGAATGATATAACAAATGTTGTATGCAAATGCATTTTTAGCCAATCTGAGACACCCGATTTTGAATCTTTTCTGGTGTAGCATGCCCCCAGATCGCTTTAATGGTTCCTTCTTTGGCATCAATCTAGTACTGACAGTAGTGTTAGTATCACTGACATTTTGAAAATTGTGGGAAGCTACATATATTAATTTTTTTCTAATATAGACACAAGAAGAGATTGTAACCAGTGACGAATCTAGCTCAAAATAATTGGTCATGCAACTATTTCGCGCCCCGAGGGCGTGAGGGGGATTTCTCTCCCTGTAACAAAGTATATTTATCATTTATAGACCCGGAGCGAGGGGGATTGGGCGTAATATTTCCCGAAGTGATGATATTTTCTGAGGGGCTTTGCCCCGAGGAAAATATCATCACTGAGGGAAATATCGCGAATACCCCGAGCGGAGGGTCTATAAATCATATATTATACCAAAAGTTAAATTAAAGAACTCACTAAGTTCAGAGTAAACTTTAAAACTTGCTGACTTTTAAACGGTGGAGTGCCGCAAGGGTCGGTGTTAGGGCCGGCTTTGTTCCTTGTTATGATAAATGATCTTCTTATTGATTGAAGCGGTAGATGGAAGTATGTTGATGACAGTACGTTTGCTGAACGAGTTACATCAACTGAGAGTAGTGAACTACAAGATCTAGTGAATGTTATCTATAAATGGTGTGAAGTTAATAATATGAAGCTCAACATCGGCAAATGTAAGGAAATTAAATGGTAATTGACTTTGCAAGAGAAAAACATGAGTTCTTACCGTTAACTATAAATAACGTTGGTATTGAGCGGGTAAAATCTGCCCGAATTCTTGGTCTTTCAATTCAAGATGATTTGAAATGGAACGAGCATGTGAACCATATTGTTAAAAAAGCGGGAAAACGCCTTTATATGCTAAGGTTGTTAAAACGATCAAATGCCGACAATAGCATTCTAATTTTGGTATACTGCACCATTGTCAGACCAGTACTCGAATATGCCTGCCAAGTTTGGCACTTCAATATTACAGAATACCTAAGTGAAGATATCGAAAAACTCCAGAAGCGGGCTCTGCGTATTGTCTTGCCATTCGCTACTTACAGAGAAGCTTGCAGTATTGCTGGTATACCCTTACTGAAAGATCGGCGGCGATTATTATGCTAACGTTTTTTTTCGTTTACCGCCTAAACTTGATCATAACTATAATACACGTTATGGAAGCGATTATAATAACTATAGTTGTAAAACAGACAGAT